AGTGATTCTGCTGTAGTCAGTTGAGCACTGCGTTGGCATGCAATGCTGGAAGCACGTGAAAACTCTCCAAATCCTCCCGACATTTTGTGACACCTTCTTGTGCCTGTTCTCACCTGTCAGCTCTGTCCTGCGTCACGGCATCTGACCTTGATGTCAAGTCTCGGTGGAGCAAGTTTTCCTGGCATATCAAGTTTTCGGTTTTGCTAAACTAAACTGTACAAAACTGCATCTGCTTCAATCCGTTTCATTTGAACTTGGAAGGTAGACCGTGAAGAAAGCATGGTTCGTTTCCAGGCAACACTCGGCCAGCTGCAATGCCTTCCATGCCTAAGTTCTTGCATTTTGGGAAATATACATCTCGACGTATCTTGACTACCAGCTAGTCTTATATGATTCGCATCGAGCCACAGATTGGAAATGTTTAAAATTACTTTTTTTCATTTATTTTTCATTTGGGTTTTCATTTGTAACTTCATTTTTTTCATTTTGTTTTTCAATCATTTTTTTGTTTTCATTTATTTTTCATTTATTTTTCATTTTTTTCCATTTTTTTTTCGTTTTTTGTTTCTCCAAACTTCAATTTTTTTCATTTCAAACATCATTTTTTTCATTTCAAACTTCATTTTTTATCATTTGTTTTTCATTTTCCTTTCCCGTGGCACCTGAAATCCAGGAACCCATGAAAATCAATGAAAAACAATGGAAAACCATCAAAAACAAAGGAAAATGAAAAAAAAATGAAGTTGCAAATGAAAAAAAAGAAAATTTGGACTCAAAGTTGCAGATTCTCACTCCGAACCAGGAAATCTTCAAAAACTCGAGGAAATTTTCATTTTGCTCATTTTTTTCATGTTCTTATCATTTTTTTCATTTTCCTTGCCCGTGGCACCTGAAATGCAGGAAAGCCATGAAAAACAATGAAAAACAATGGAAAACCATCAAAAACAAAGGAAAATGAAAAAAAATGAAGTTGCAAATGAAAAAAAAATGAAAATTTGGACTCAAAGTTGCAGATTCTCACTCCGAACCAGGAAATCTTCAAAAACCCGAGGAAATTTTCATTTGTTTTTCATTTTTTTCATTTTTTTATCTTTTTTTTATCATATTTTTTTCATTTTCCTTGCCCGTGGCACCTGAAATCCAGGAAAGCCACGAAAAACAATGGAAAACCATCAAAAACAAAGGAAAATGAAAAAAAATGAAGTTGCAAATGAAAAAAAATGAAAATTTGGACTCAAAGTTGCAGATTCTCACTCCGAACCAGGAAATCTTCAAAAACTCGACGAAATTTTCTTTTTCCCCACATCTTTGTGTGGGGTTCTTGTTTTTGATTCTGTATCCCGGGCTTCTCCTCCTCCTCCCGCCGCCTCCGTAACACAACACACACAAACTTAACATACAATAATTTCACACACACAAACTTAACAGACAATAACTTCACACACACAAACTTAACACACAAAGTAACAGACAATTAACTTTTCACACACACCAAAACTAAAATACAATATTCACCAACACACAAACTCACTATACAATAATTTCACTTAAAGACAATAACTTCAACACACAAACGTCACACACAACACAAACTTCACATACAATAATTTCACACACACAAACTTAACACACACACAAACTTAACAGACAATAACTTCACACACACACAAACTTAACACACACAAACTTAACACACACAAACTTAACAGACAATAACTTCACACACACAAACTTAACATACAATAATTTCACACACACAAACTTAACATACACAAACTTAACACACAAACTTAACATACACAAACTTAACACACACAAACTTAACACACACAAACTTAACAGACAATAACTTCACACACACAAACTTAATATACAATAATTTCACATACACAAACTTAACACACACAAACTTAACACACACAAACTTAACAGACAATAACTTCACACGCACAAACTTAACATACAATAATTTCACACACACACACACACAAACTTTTCGTTTCACGTGGCAGGCGTGGCACAAACTCACATCTACCGTCGTTTTGCGTGGCAGGCGTGCCACTTATGGTACTGGGTGGCGCCCTTGGGCCGGGATTTGGCGCCGGGGCGCCGCGCCACTTTGCGTGGCAGGCGTGGCACAATCTGACATCCACCTTCGTTTCACGTGGCAGGCGTGGCACAAACTCACATCCACCGTCGTTTTGCGTGGCAGGCGTGGCACTTATGGTACTGGGGGGCGCCCTTGGGCCGGGATTTGGCGCCTGTGACGCCGCGCCCATTTTTGCGTGCGAAGCGTGCACAAACTGACATCCACCTTCGTTTCACGTGGCAGGCGTGCACAAACTCACATCTACATGCCGTTTTGCGTGCAGGCGTTTGCCATTATGGTACTGGTGGCGACCTTGGGCCGGGCATTGGGATTTGGCGCCGGGGCGCCGCGCCACTTTGCGTGGCAGGCGTGGCACAACCTGACATCCACCCTTGTTTCACGTGGCAGGCGTGGCACAAACTCACATCTACCGTCGTTTTGCGTGGCAGGCGTGGCACTTATGGTACTGGTGGCGCCCTTGGGCCGGGATTTGGCGCCGGGGCGCCGCGCCACTTTGCGTGGCAGGCGTGGCACAACCTGACATCCACCGTCGTTTCACGTGGCAGGCGTGGCATCTACCGTCGTTTTGCGTGGCAGGCGTGGCACTTATGGTACTGGGTGGCGCCCTTGGGCCGGGATTTGGCGCCGGGGCGCCGCGCCACTTTGCGTGGCAGGTGTGGCACAACCTGACATCCACCTTCGTTTCACGTGGCAGGCGTGGCACAAACTCACATCTACCGTCGTTTTGCGTGGCAGGCGTGCCACTTATGGTACTGGGTGGCGCCCTTGGGCCGGGATTTGGCGCCGAGGCGCCGCGCCACTTTGCGTGGCAGGCGTGGCACAACCTGACAGCCACTTTCGTTTCACGTGGCAGTCGTGGCACAAACTCACATCTACCGTCGTTTTGCGTGGCAGGCGTGGCACTTATGGTACTGGGTGGCGCCCTTGGGCCGGGATTTGGCGCCGGGGCGCCGCGCCACTTTGCGTGGCAGGCGTGGCACAACCTGACATCCACCTTCGTTTCACGTGGCAGGCGTGGCACAAACTCACATCTACTGTCTGGAACTCGTAGAAAGCGGAGCAACTTACTCACAAACAACCTACTCACAAACAACTTACATACATACATACCTACCTACCGACCTACATACATACATACATACATACATACCTACCATTTTACCTTCTCGATCTTTCACCATCTCCTTTGTCTTTCTTTGCTTCCCTGTCCCCGCTAAAACCATTGAAGCTCATTTTAGGGAGAAGTTGACTTGTGGGGTTATCCGGTCCTTTATTTTTTTTCCTTTTTTTTCATTTTTTTCATGTTTTTATCATTTTTTATCATGTTTTTATCTTTTTTTTTTCATTTTCCTTGCCCGTGGCACCTGAAATCCAGGAAAGCCATGAAAAACAATCGAAAACCATCAAAAACAAAGGAAAATGAAAAAAAAAATGAAGTTGCAAATGAAAAAAAAATGAAAATTTGGACTCAAAGTTGCAGATTCTCACTCCGAACCAGGAAATCTTCAAAAACTCGAGGAAATTTTCATTTTGTTTTCATTTTTTTATCATTTTCCTTGCCCGTGGCACCTGAAATGCAGGAAAGCCATGAAAAACAATGAAAAACAATGGAAAACCATCAAAAACAAAGGAAAATGAAAAAAAAATGAAGTTGCAAATGAAAAAAAAATGAAAATTTGGACTCAAAGTTGCAGATTCTCACTCCGAACCAGGAAATCTTCAAAAACCCGAGGAAATTTTCATTTGTTTTTCATTTTTTTCATGTTTTTATCTTTTTTTTATCATGTTTTTTTCATTTTCCTTGCCCGTGGCACCTGAAATCCAGGAAAGCCATGAAAAACAATGGAAAACCATCAAAAACAAAGGAAAATGAAAAAAAAATGAAGTTGCAAATGAAAAAAAAATGAAAATTTGGACTCAAAGTTGCAGATTCTCACTCCAAACCAGGAAATCTTCAAAAACCCGAGGAAATTTTCATTTTTTTCGATTTTTTTTCATTTTTTTTATTTTTTTATTTTTTTTATCATTTTTTTTTCATTTTCCTTGCCCGTGGCACCTGAAATCCAGGAAAGCCATGAAAAACAATCGAAAACCATCAAAAAAACAAGGGAAAATGAAAAAAACATGAAGTTGCAAATGAAAAAAAAAGAAAATTTGGACTCAAAGTTGCAGATTCTCACTCCAAACCAGGAAATCTTCAAAAACTCGCGGAAATTTTCCTTTTTTTTCATTTTTTTTATTTTTTTATCATTTTTTTATCATTGTTTTTTTCATTTTCCTTGCCCGTGGCACCTGAAATCCAGGAAAGCCATGAAAAACAATGGAAAACAATCTGACATCCACCTTCGTTTCACGTGGCAGGCGTGGCACAATCTCACATCTACCGTCGTTTTGCGTGGCAGGCGTGGCACTTATGGTACTGGGTGGCGCCCTTGGGCCGGGATTTGGCGCCGGGGCGCCGCGCCACTTTGCGTGGCAGGCGTGGCACAACCTGACATCCACCTTCGTTTCACGTGGCAGGCGTGGCACAATCTCACATCTACCGTCGTTTTGCGTGGCAGGCGTGGCACTTATGGTACTGGGTGGCGCCCTTGGACCGGGATTTGGCGCCGGGGAGCCGCGCCACTTTGCGTGGCGGGCGTGGCACAACCTGACATCCACCTTCGTTTCACGTGGCAGGCGTGGCACAAACTCACATCTACTGTCGTTTTGCGTGGCAGGCGTGCCACTTATGGTACTGGGTGGCGCCCTTGAGCCGGGATTTGGCGCCGGGGCGCCGCGCCACTTTGCGTGGCAGGCGTGGCACAATCTGACATCCACCTTCGTTTCACGTGGCAGGCGTGGCACAATCTCACATCTACCGTCGTTTTGCGTGGCAGGCGTGCCACTTATGGTACTGGGTGGCGCCCTTGGGCCGGGATTTGGCGCCGGGGCGCCGCGCCACTTTGCGTGGCAGGCGTGGCACAACCTGACATCCACCTTCGTTTCACGTGGCAGGCGTGGCACAAACTCACATCTACTGTCGTTTTGCGTGGCAGGCGTGCCACTTATGGTACTGGGTGGCACCCTTGGGCCGGGATTTGGCGCCGGGGCGCCGCGCCACTTTGCGTGGCAGGCGTGGCACAACCTGACATCCACCTTCGTTTCACGTGGCAGGCGTGGCACAAACTCACATCTACTGTCTGGAACTCGTAGAAAGCGGAGCAACTTACTCACAAACAACCTACTCACAAACAACTTACATACATACATACATACCTACCTACCTACCGACCTACATACATACATACATACATACCTACCATTTTACCTTCTCGATCTTTCACCATCTCCTTTGTCTTTCTTTGCTTCCCTGTCCCCGCTAAAACCATTGAAGCTCATTTTAGGGAGAAGTTGACTTGTGGGGTTATCCGGTCCTTTAATTTTTTTCCTTTTTTTTCATTTTTTTCATGTTTTTATCATTTTTTATCATGTTTTTATCATTTTTTTTCATTTTCCTTGCCCGTGGCACCTGAAATCCAGGAAAGCCATGAAAAACAATCGAAAACCATCAAAAACAAGGGAAAATGAAAAAAAAATGAAGTTGCAAATGAAAAAAAATGAAAATTTGGACTCAAAGTTGCAGATTCTCACTCCGAACCAGGAAATCTTCAAAAACTCGAGGAAATTTTCATTTTGTTTTCATTTTTTTATCATTTTCCTTGCCCGTGGCACCTGAAATCCAGGAAAGCCATGAAAAACAATGAAAAACAATGGAAAACCATCAAAAAGAAAGGAAAATGAAAAAAAATGAAAATTTGGACTCAAAGTTGCAGATTCTCACTCCGAACCAGGAAATCTTCAAAAACTCAAGGAAATTTTCATTTGTTTTTCATTTTTTCATTTTTTTTATCATTTTTTTATCATTTTTTTCATTTTCCTTGCCCGTGGCACCTGAAATCCAGGAAAGCCATGAAAAACAATCGAAAACCATCAAAAACAAAGGAAAATGAAAAAAAAATGAAGTTGCAAATGAAAAAAAATGAAAATTTGGACTCAAAGTTGCAGATTCTCACTCCGAACCAGGAAGTCTTCAAAAACCCGAGGAAATTTTCATTTTGTTTGCATTTTTTTTCATTTTTTTTATTTTTTTTATCATTTTTTTTTCATTTTCCTTGCCCGTGGCACCTGAAATCCAGGAAAGCCATGAAAAACAATCGAAAACCATCAAAAAAACAAGGGAAAATGAAAAAAAATGAAGTTGCAAATGAAAAAAAAAAGAAAATTTGGACTCAAAGTTGCAGATTCTCACTCCAAACCAGGAAATCTTCAAAAACTCGCGGAAATTTTCCTTTTTTTTAATTTTTTTTAATTTTTTTTATCATTTTTTTATCATTGTTTTTTTCATTTTCCTTGCCCGTGGCACCTGAAATCCAGGAAAGCCATGAAAAACAATGGAAAACAATGGAAAACCATCAAAAACAAAAGAAAATGAAAAAAATGAAGTTGCAAGTGAAAAAAAATGAAGTTGCAAATGAAAAAAATGAAGTTTGATGGCAAAAGGTGATGAGCAAAAATGAAAAAAATGAAGATAAAATGAAAAAAAACGATAATGAAAATGATATATAATGAAAATGAAAATGAAAAAATAATAATTTTTGATGGTCTCAGACTGTAGCAGTAAGAATCTTATAAAGCTAGTCAGGTCAATCAGCCTGATCTGCTGTGAAACACCTCGAATAAATTGAAATTCCATCTGGGGGCCTGGCCAATAATCTCCACAGGACTGACATTCACTGCATTTTGCAGTCTGAACATCATCTCTTGACAACTTCCTGACACACCGAATAATACACGAGGATCGATTTACCTATGTGATGTGTCCAACCTGTCTCCAACCTTTTGATCCACAGCAAGTATGAATTGTTCAAGTATCGTGGTGGGAACAACTAGCGAAACATGAACCCTTCAGAGAGGACACGCAGTTGGGGAGGAAGGGAGAAAAATTGCCGACATGCAGAAGATTTCCTTGAAAGGGCGTTTGCAGGAAAACGGCGGGGTCAAGCGAGATCAACGGTTTGAGACATTGGCCGCAAAATCATTCATAGTTGTGGGCTAAAAATCCGCCGGCCTCCCGGCGTGTTTTGTGGATGTTCTTCTGATACATCTTTAGCTCAACTAGAGCTTAGGCTAATGTTCCTCTTCGACGGATTTTCCATTTGGCTGCCCCCTCCCACCTCCCCTAGAGACTCTAGACTAGTCTAGTATAGTCTAATGGTCTATTATATTGAAAGCACGCACCGGTGCAACAAACTTTTCCCTCGCACCTGAGCCAGGACCGGCTCCAATCCGTGAACCAATGACACTAACCCCTTTTCGAGGTTGTGTTCACCGGGTTCGCTGTGATTCAGCTGCAGCCCGGTCAGCCGACAGCCTTTGTCGGTATGCACGCTTACGTGCTGCTGCATCTTGTCGCAGCTTTCGCGCGGACTCGGTGTCCTTGAGTGCCCACGTCGCCGCCAGCACCTGCATGAGCTTCACATTCCCAGTCAGCTTCGTGAGGTCGTCGGCGATCAATTCTTCACCAGGCACCCATCGCACCATGCGCTCCGCGCCGTCCTCTTGCAATGCTTGCTTCGTTGCAGCGATGTCTATCGCTAATCTTTTGTCTTCCCCCAATGCTGTGCCATTCAGCAGGTCATATCCCGTGCGGGAATCCAGGACCAAAATCAGCCGCCAGATGGATACGGCAGGCAGCCAACCAGCTAGACTAAAAGTCTTCAGCGCCATCTCTGCCAGAAGAGCTCGGCAGGAATCCCCTTCCTCCAGAGACAACGCTGCTTGACTGATTTCGGCTGCAAGGCTGGATCTGACCACGCGCTTCAGCAGGCCAGAATGCCATAGGGCCGGATTGGCCATGGACACCACACATCCGCCCTGTGATCTACCACGGGGCATACCTGCAAAGGACGCATCCGACGCTGCGATCACAACCATCTGTCGTAGATTCGTCGTAGATCGCATCCAAGGTTCTCATACTTGATCGTCGCGCTGATCTTGGCCCGCTCCACAAGGATCTTGAGCTCCGTCAGCGCTCCAGGGTCATCTACTCCTGCAAGTTGTTGTACCCTGGACACTCCAAAGGATAGGTCTGCCCGACATTGTCTTGCCATCCAATTGAGCTGGCCGCAAATGGTGCCCCATCCATTTCTTTTCATTTGGCTGGAGGGGATGACGTTGTCCAGGAAGCCGTAGTGGAGGATCAAGAAGTCGTTCAGCATATTCATCCATCTGTAGATGTACTGCACCTTCAGGCAGTTGTCTTTCATATCTTCCGCGAAACTTTGTGCATTGCTCGGGTTTCTGCCAATCCCCGAAACTGAACAATGAATCCAACTTGCCCTTGATCTCCTCCTTCGCCTCCGGGTCTACCACCAACCTCACATCGTCCACATGAACTGCCAGTAGTGCTCGAGGTCGCTCCTGCGCATCCACAAAGAAACCAAAAACGCCAGGGCATAGGGCCATCTCCCGTCCACCAATTGATTCAGCACCACGTTTGAATCTCTGGTACCAAAGTCGGGGACTCTCCGACAAGCCAAATCCGCCCTTCTTCATCCTGAATATGTTGGTTCTGGCTCCTTTTTGGGCAATTGCGTGAGCAGGAATTTCCTGACAAAATGTGGATAGCTCCGTGGGCTCTGAATGAAAACTCGTCTTCCTTCAGGCTGCACTGATGTCCGCAAAGTACATCTCATAGTGCCACACGGGAAGCAAAGCAATTTGTGGGCCAGTAAGGATGCTGTGGGATTCTGTTGCATATTTGCCGGCCTTTTGGTCCTTGTGACCGGCAATAACCAATCTTGCTTTCAGCTTTGCGCCTTCCAACTGGTCATCAGACGGGTGAAGATTTCTTGGATCTGATTTGTTGACCAGGACAAAGCACGACGGCAAAACTTCTATGGAGTCCACCACATCATCCTCCATCACCGGTGCCAGTGCATCATGCTCGAAGTAGATCCTGAGGGCATCCAAAATTGGTTCTTCGAATGCCTCTTGCCATCTGATCGTTAAGTCGTTCCACTTGAGCTCCAATCGCACCTTCCCAGTCTCAGGGCGTGTGACGTCCACCACCTCCTCTGGAAGATGTGTGAGTTCAGTGATGCCTTTGTGCATCTGCATCGGCTTCACCTGCTTGATCTCATTGTAGTTCACGAAGGTAAAGAAAGATGTCCATCAGGTCGAATTGTGTCTTAAACGACTGATTCTGTGCGTCTTGCAAAAACTGTACAATCTCCTGGATCTCAGCCGTGTGTACTCGGCCCAGTCGTTGCGACATCAATGTCGCATTTGGCCATCCTGTCATTTCTCGCGTGCCCATGTATTCCATCGCCAATGACTCCCTAACTCGCCATGGATCTTCGGCAAGCCACCTGCCTTCCAACCATGTCACCAGGGTCGAGGACTGTTCGTCTGTGCCTGGTTTCCTGCTCTCAAGCCTTGTGATGCCTTGCCACAGATCTTGTAAATCAACTTGAGGGTTCCAATGGTGCCACTTGATGTTGTCCAGGATGAACTCCTTCAATCTAGGATCTGGATCTCCAGGATATTCCGGCACCAACACATGTGAAGCCTCTGCTCGTAGACGATCTGCACGGGCAATTGGGTTGTGCAAGAAAAAGGCCTGTGTCGCCCTCACCCCAGTCAGCCAATCTTGTGTAATGCCTTCGGAAGCGTGGCGTTCTGATCCTGTTGCAACGGTGAAGACGAACAAGGGTCATATAGGCATCGTCGAGGCACCACATGTACTCGACAAAGCTCCTGATCTTCATCTGTCACCACCCAATAGTCCGTGGTGGGCGCAGGTATCATCATTTGTCGCTTCAAGATCAACCTCTGAGCCCGTGGCTTCCTGAGACGTCTCCTAACATCATGTTGCATCCCTGTGAGAGGCACGGGCAAACGAGATCTCGTAGAGGGAGTCGGCGGCATAGCATGTGATCGCACCACGTTCGTACCTGTTCTCACCAGGTGTGGTACTTGCCGTGTCATGGAAACATGGCGCCCTTCAGGCATATCTTCCACTGCATATCTTCGCAAGTCTTCAGGAGCTCTTACATTCAAATGATTGAACACGTCCATGTCCAAGTCAACGGCCAAGGCGTCCATGAGCTCCTGATCCACATCCGGCTCTTCAATGGGTATCTTGAAGCGGTGCGTGTTGAAATACAGTGGTCCGGCGGGCTTCACCGGTAGTGGCACCAATTCCGGGTTGCTGGACCCTATCTGGGTCGGCAAAACCACATTGAAAGGCTTCGGCTCCAAACGATCTTTCATGGCCTTGAAATGCTTCTCCGTCTTCTTCATGGCCGCATCAAACGTAGCCCGCTTCTCCACAAAGGGTCGAAGTGCTGGATTTTTCCTGGTTGAGCTCCTTTTTCTGCGCGTGCCTTCTTTTGTGGTCTCGAAGGGCCGGGCAGGCCAGAGGCATTCTTTCGGTGCAATGCCATAGGGAGATCGTCCAGGCATGATGCGGATTGTCGGACCTGCTGCTCCGGTATCGGGTCAGGGGCCTCCAGCTCTTCATCGCTGAATTCCCAAACCTGCTGCTCTTCTATCGGAGCATCTTGGCTGCTCGAAGTCGGCTTCTTGCCCTTCTTCTTCTGCAGGTTCTTGTCATTCTTTTCCTCGTCTGAACTGGTCGAAGACGACGAGGACGATGAAGAGCTCACCTTTTCGGCATTCGCCCTTCCTGTGCGTATTTGTTCCTCAAGCTCCTCGAGTGCCGCTTTTGCAATTTGGGCTGCCTCTTGTTCCTCCGCCACCGTCATCCTCACAAATTCCAACGGCATGCCCTTGAGCTTGTTCCTATAACGCACCCAAACTCTCTTGATTGCCCCATGTCTCCTGGAAAGCCCCTTCCTATGAGCCGGAGGTTCCCAAAACATCACCTGTGCTCCTTCCGTCAGCAACTCCAACTTCGGCAATCTGGCCCGTGATCCTGCTACCCTCTTCAATGCATCTGTTGCTTCCATCCATTGAAAGGCATCGCTGGCTGCTCTCCTCATTTGTGCAGCACGATGAAAAGCCTCCTCCGGTCTTGCCAGTTGAAACTGAAACTGGCCCGCCATCGCATCCATCAAATTGGTCCGAATGCTCGTGTCCTTGCCAAAGACCAGCTCCTTCGTCATCTTCATCAAAATGAACTTCAAACTGCACCATGTCGTTCTGCCAGTGACATGGGGCTGTTGGGGGAAATATTTCATGGAAAATTGCAAATGTTTGCAGTAGTGGCTCGACAGTGCCCTTGAACTCACTGCCTTGATCTGTCATGAGCACTGCCGGCGGCCCAAACACTCCAATCCAGCGATCCCTCAACAAATTTGTAGTAAGCTCGGATGAAGGGTCTTTGGCCGCCACTGCAACTTGATACAAGGAAAAGGCATCCAGAACATGAGTCACGCAAAACTTCTCCCCCAGCCGCATCCCAAATGTAGAATGAATCCGCCAGGATGCGCTCATTGAAAGACATAGGTCTGGCGTTCCCTTTGGCGTCGCTGCGGGAGATCGCACTTGATTGCAGATCTGAAATTGAAGATGGTCCACTGCCCACAATTTTTCTGGTTTTGCGCCATTCATCAACAACATGCGCTTGAGCTTATCGTTCGACACATGTCCCAAGGCGACATGAAGATGTGCCATCGTGGACCGCACTGTCTTGTTGAGCAAGGCCGCCTCGGAGTCAAAGTGGATGTAGTCGTAGCGCGTACCGTAGTCGTTGATCTGCATGTGTTGTCGAAGCTGTCCTTCTGGTGTGGCTTCAACCTCCACTGGTACCGTTTCAAAAAACCGGTTGGGTGGATTGCGACGGTGCAATTGTTTGACCGGCTGGTAGAAGTCCTCGTCAGGGATCGAAGTCTCATCCAAAGCACGTTGCAATCCATCCAATAGCCAGCCACAAGATTGTGGGGTCCATTCTGAAGCCAATGCTGATCGCTTCACAGACCTCCAAGTTCCCGTCAATGGATCCGTCAATGCCACTGATCCCTCAATCGGTTGATGAGCTCTGGGAGCGCAACTGCACCTCTTTTCTGAAAAGGCTGGTGTCTCAATGACGGGATGATTCATCTGCACCACAGTCGATTTCTTGTGTGGTTCTCCAGGAATTCGATCTTTGAGACCCAACTGACACAGGTCCACCGTTTTCTCATGCACCACTTCTCGTGCTTCCATAGGCCGGGTATTCAAGGCCTCGCTCTGCTTGGGTTGCTCCAGTACAGCCAGCGCTCCTCTTGCAGTCTGAAATGACCAACCCCAAAGCACAAATTCCCAAAAGGGTAGATGCTCCCGCCGCTTTTTCGCATTCTCTGCCAAGAACTCCAGGGCCCACAGGGCTGTGCTAGGGTCGCCACATCTGGCTCCTGCGTCCTGATGACGTCCTTCATCATCTCCGTGTGCTCGGGGTTCAATAGATCCAAACCATAGAGCTTGTCCTGTGCAAAAAGTACCCTCCAGCGACCTGACCGTTCCGCCAGCTCCCACAAGTTGGCTTTTCCAGCGAAGACCTCCAGGAGGGACAAGGATCGTCCTTTCATCTGGGACACCTCATAGATCTTCTTGTGCGTCCTCAGGGCCCTTTCGACGCCTTGTCTGATCGTTCTGGTCTTCTGTTCAATGTGATCTTCAGGCGCTCTCCACCGTCATGCACGTTCCACCTTCTGAGGCTCACCGCATGGTACATCAGAAGGTCCGTGTGCAGGTAGTTCTTGATGCATCGCCCCATGACCGTCACCGGGTAGCCGTGGATCGACAGGTTGATATACCTCCGAAGGATGAAGGACTCCAGGATATTGATAGAGTTCCAGGAAGGGCTCCATGAGATAGTCCATCGCTCTGCACCACATCCACGCCATCTTCAGCTCTACGAATCTGTTCTTGCGGTGTCGGTGCATTTGGGTCCATCAGCTCATCCTTCAACTCTCTCTGGGTCGTCCCTGTCTGTCCACCTTGTCGCCTTCCGCCAGGTAGTAGATCTTGGGGTTGAAACACAGCTGCCTGGCCGACCCTAGATGACCCCAAAGGCTGGCCAGATGTCGGCCTTCCATGTGCATGAGCCACCAGTAGTTCCTCTTCCAACGTCGGCCTGGGTCTTTTTCCACCGCCTTCTTCAGACGCAACATCAACAGAAGGATCTTCCATTTGTACGTCACGCTCTGTGCGTACACACTCTTGGCCACGTTGAAGGTCGCGTCCATGGAGAACATCCGGGAGAGCGAAGGGAAAGGTGCCTCGCTGCCCGTGAGTGCTGCATGCTTGTTGGGCTTGTTCTCCTTCTTCTTCTTCTCGCCCATCGATGTGGTCTGTCCCGATTTGCGCTTCCTGCGATGTCTGCTCCTTCACCAGCATCTCCTGCATCTGCTGGCACATATCCTGCATCGTGGCCATCTGCACCTGCATGGCCGCCAAAGAAACTTGTGACACCGGCGTTTGGAGGCCTCTTCAAAGACATAGTCTTGGCCTTGAGTCTCTTGGGAGGACTCTTCGAGTCGGCCACCATCTCCTCCTCGTCGGTTTCCTCGGGCTCCATGCCCACGTTCTCCCATGGGCTCTCGAGCGTTGATTGCCCCGATGCCGCCGCCGACGCTCAGCCCGGCATGTGGAGTTGCCTCCAGGACAAGAGCCGTCATAGACTGACTGGCTGGGAGCGCGCCAGAACCACTGCAACGCAACGGCATCACTTCCAAGTGAGAAGGTACATGTAAATCTGCAGGAACACTCAAACTGTCTGAAAACTGATCAATGGGAAGCAAATAGTGACCACCTTGAGATTGTTTCAATCCGCGTGCCTTCACCCCGAACCTTTTGGAAGAGATCATCTCGCATCCATGGGTCTTCCATTGGGGTCATTTACATACCAGAGTCGCCAGCTAACTCCCCAGACAGGGTTCGAGGCCTACTCCCACCCAAAGTCCTAACCAACTCGGGAGTAGGCTGCCTCGTCCTCGTAGCTGCCGCTCTGCCTTCATGAAGTTCAGGAGGATGCCCTCGTCGTACTCCTCCAAATAGAGGCAACGGAAGCTCGTCCGTGTCCGGGGCACTCTCCACAGCCTGCACCACGTCCACTAGCTCCTCGCTTGAGCTAGCTGGCGCAGGTGCGAGACCCGCCATGGCTCAGCCACGTGAGGCACCTGACACTACAGGCCCACTTCTTCGGGGCTCCGCTACCACTGAAAGCATGCACCGGTGCAACAAACTTTTCCCTCGCACCTGAGCCAGGACCGGCTCCAACCCGTGAACCAATGACAATTATAGCCTAGTCTAGTCTATTTTCGTCTGGTTAGTGTCGTGTCGTCTAGTCTCGTCTCGTCTCTTTTCTCAAGCGAACTCACATTATTTACATCGTCACAACATCCTCATCTCGATAGTCATCGTCATCATCCTCCTCCGCCTCATCATCAGCATTATCCCGATCATCATCATCAAACCAACCTTTTACACCAACCGGCTTTACAAAACCCCGGCTTTGGGCCTGTTGGCCAATGGCCAGAGGGCCGGCGGAATGCCGAAGGCTGTTCAATAAGCAACGCATAGAAAATTGAATTTTGATGATGCAAAACATCATGTGCACGGATATCTGCACCTGAAAAAATGCAAATATGTTCCAGATCTATGGCTTCATGCAAGACATGTTCAACGAATCCTCTTCATGTATATAATGTATATACTATACACATACAGCATACATACAAACATAATCAAACATATATATATATATATGCTATATTATGCAAATATGTGTATGAGGCCATACCTAATTAGATACATACAGTAACTACCTGAAGCATGCTCCAGTGGAATGTGATTTCATGTCATGTGCAATATAGAGTAGACAATGCGTGTAGTCATGCTTGCGATGTGAAGTGAAGTGAAGTGATATGATGTGATGTAATGGAATGTGGGGTGGTGTACTGTAAGGTAATGTGATGTAATACGAGTTAGTGTTAATGTGACATATTGTGAGTTGACTCAGTGCGGTGTATTGTGTGTAGTGTGCTGTAATGTGATGTGTGTATAATATACGCATGTAAGGACGTATAGGATTTATGAACGTGGGTCTGTATCTATGTGCGCGTTGGTGTGAGTGTCTTTGCCCGTCTTTGTGTCTGTCCCCTCCGTCTGCCTGTCCGTCCGTCTTTCTGTCTGTCTGTACCCTTCGTCTGTATGGACGGACGGATGGATGGATGGATGGATGGATGGGTGGGTGGGGGGGTGCAGGGGCCGGCAACGGTGGAATGAAGGATGTGTGTCGTAGATTGTAGTAGGCAGTATCATTCAGCATGATACTCTGTTTCAGATGAAGCTGGTATCTAGCCAATATGGTAGTACAACGAGGGGCGTGGAGAAATAAGCGTGGGGTTAGGTGTATTGGACTCATGCAGAGTCATGCATATGCGGCTTTGATGCTTGGGAAAATATATACTTCTTGATAGCACATGCACAGGCAAGTCTCCTAAGGAAGTGTGTATCTGCGCGACTCGTTCAGAAGCCAGCTGAGGCCACATGGTCGCCACTTGAGCAGTTGTAACCTCAAAGTTTGCACGGAGGAGAAGGAAGGGTGACAGTGGCTGCTCACTGGCATGACACTAATGACATCTGGTAACAAAGCAATCACAATGCCTAACGCTGGTGACACGAAAAGCCCTAAGGCCGTAGCCTGCAGCGGGCCCAGCAACTGAGGTGGCTGGACCGGCTGTGGTTGGACTGCCGGCACCTAGAAAGGCGCATCTATTTACTGCCAGAGCATGCAGGGCGAAAAGATGAAAAGTAAAAAGATAAAAACAACATAAACGCACGGTTAATCCATGTGAACTTTTCTTCAACCGCATGCGGCAATAGCTTGGGGATCATGGGCGACTTGGTCTCCTCAGACCATTGATGCTAAAAAGCTCAATCGTGTTGTGCTATACCAGGCAAGCTACATAGTTTTCTGCAATGTCTGGTGCGATAAGTTCAACCGGGCAAGTGCTCAAGCAACGATTTGGAATGCAAATATCTTATTTTTGTTGTGACAAGGGCAACTTGCACACGGACAATATTGCTAAACAACTGTCCCCTTGACTGGGACACCAACAGACAAAGGCTGGGCTGGGCCAGACTCCTCCTGCGAAACTCAACAAAAACAGAATGAAAACAAAATGAAAACACGTCAAAAGACATCAAAAGACATCATGGTGAGATTCAGCGTTGGCGCTTTGGCCCTTCGCTGTGGAACTTGCAACAGGCACTGAAGCGACAAGAGATGAAGTCAACCACATGAACAATGATAGTCACAAATAGTCACACAAGACAAAAGGAAGGCATTTCCAGCCGAATCATTTAAAATGACTTAAAATCTTAAAATGGTGTATTCCTCTTGCTGTGTCTTTTTTCCCTTTTGTGGTCAGACCTGAGATCTCTGGGCTTCGAACCATGTCCAATAAAAGCATGTCACCACTCGGGGCGCTGGGTGATGGAGACTGCGAGATCGGAGCAACTGGAGGACTGGCGCCATCATCCAAATCCAACAGATCCACAGGAGATGAAGCTGGCACTGCTGGCGCTTCCAGTACCTTGGAAAATCGGGAAACCGTGAAACCCTGCGTGTGAAATTGCTTCTTCGGATCTCTTCATTAGGGAAGTTTCGAACAAAGCAGCCAATCAACAGTGAAAGAAACGCTGAATAGTGCGACAAAGCCACTTTCTCGCGTGGCTGCGTCCGAACCTTCACAAGACATTCGACCAATGACAAGCGTTTGCTGATTCCCCCCCCTCTTAAATAGTCACCATATTGTCTGCCTTGTGGTGTAAACCGTCAATGCATACTTTCATACCCTTCCTAAAATGCAGTTTGCAATGAGCATCCTGGAAACAATTGAAAGCAACAGTACCCGCAACCTCACTTTGCCCGTCGCCTCTCAGTTGGCTACTTGGGAAGAGCGGTAGTTGCAGGCGGTTGGAAGATTGCTTTTTTTTCCGTTTTATGGTATCACGGTGTGTGAAGCACACAGAAAAAACGAAGCTGCAACAGGTTAAGTTTAGATGAGACACTTCTGGATTACGAATACTGCTGTATATAGCAATAGGCCAGCAACCTTCACCCGCCAACTCAACCACTCACTAAACTTAACCCAAGGAGCGCATGTTGCCAGTTCATGTGTTAATTCACTCGCTAATTGACTTGTTGGGCCAGGGTGACACTGATCAAGTCCGCAAAAGGCTGTTTTTGAAAGTTTCTGGAGCGACATTCTGCCTCTCAGGGTCGCTACAGGACGGCCTGTGCTGCCACAGTTTTGCGACTTGATCCTCTACCAATGTGCGCAAGGCTTGCTTCTCCTTGGTCCCTGCACATGGTCAGAGTAGCAAAATCCGAAGTGGGGTTGGGGCGCGAAAAATTTGGTTTTGTTGCTGCTGTGGGGCAATGAAATTTCAGGCCACTAATTGCATGTCAGGGGCTGTTCTTGCGTCCTGCTATCACCGAACGCAATGCAGGATTGCTAAACGCCTCGTAACTTGGAACGGCTACCCAGAGAGTATCAGGGTACCGCTCCCAGCGCGATTCTATTCTGAAACGCAAACAAGAGTTGCAAAGCAAATTGGAAGCGGTGCGCGAAGCGTGCTGGTAGTGCTGGCTGCACACTGCTAGTGTGGAATGCAGTGAAGACGAGTGCATGAAGCATCTGAAGAGAGACGGCTCAGGAGAAAGATGAGGTCGCTCTGAGAGGCAGTCCAGAGAGGAGGCCCAAAGAATCAGAGCCTGGTCAGAGAAGGAGTGGCTCAGAGGAGGGTGGCCTCAGAAAAAATGCTGAGGGAAGAAATAGCTTAGTCACTTCTTCACCCGTCAGTCATTCATACAAAGTTGCGCTGGCCCGCGCGGCCACTCAATCATCCAGCCTGTCAACCATCCAGGCATTCAGTCAGTTCAACAATGCTGCCTCAGTCATTCCGCCTTCTGACAAGCAATTGATGTCCTATCTCGCATAACCACTCATTATGCCTGGCGCGCCAGAAACTATCTTAAAAGCATAGCCATAAACCTTGAAAGAAACCGGCAGACCGATATCCCGAAAAGGGCCGGGAGCGTTTGGGCTGAACGAAAATACCACAATTACAATTACAGTATTTTGTATTTCTCTCATTTGGTTTGCATGAATACTTATGTATACGGCCATTCCATGACTGGAAATATCCTGGCTATTTGCACGTTGCACCCACCCCTAGGTCAATTGACGCACTCATTTTCCTACTGTCTCTCTGTAGACAGGATTCTGACACCTGTTTTTGACCACGAACATAATTGCACCCGTCAAAAGATCAACAAAGGACCTTGCGTGTACCTGACACTCCGTGAAGCTCCATTGCTGTCCACTGTGACGCTACGCTTTCACAGCTGAAACCTACATGACTAGCACCGCCTGCTTATATTCAGTTTGCACAGACTGCAGTCTTATGCAGCTTCATGAGCTTCATGCATCCACCTCCAATGGCACCTGAAACTCAATGATCTAGAGGCCAAAGGGCTCCAACTCGCAAAGACCCCCAAACCCCAGTTCCTCCCCCAAAAAGCAAACACAAGACTTACGCGTCACGATTGCGCAACGCAATCTAGTTCGTCAGAGAAAGGACCCAGTCGAGCCACGGCTTGAGCTTTGGGAGCTGAAGGAGGGGCAGCACTTGTAGTACTCGTAGCGCCCGCACTGCCAAGCCCGCTGAACAAAGCTGCAGCCATTTTCTGCTTTTCATTCATTGCCTGACTTTTGACACAGATATCACAAATCCCTTTTGGGTTTTTGACGGTCTGAGAGTTGGAATCTTGTCTCTGAAGTAGTACTTAGGCAAGCCACTGGAGGTTCAGCTTTCGGCGCAGGCTTCTGATTTGTTTGATGAACCTTGGCACGTTGTGGCATCAAAGACTGAATGCGTCTGAAGCTGCCATGAAGCAATCCCGATTGCAACATGAATTACTTCTACTTTGTTGGTCTAACACAGTCAAAGTTGCGGTTTCAAGCTGGCTAAGCTGAGGCTATGCTATGTTCCCTTTACCGCGGCTGCTTTTGTGAAGGTGATGTTGAGAAGATGTGAGGTTAAGGTCATGTGAGGTTAAGTGAATGTGATGCTGAAGTAATGGTGAGGCTGCGTGGATGTGAAGTTGAGTGGATGTGAAGTTGGGTGAATGCGAGGTTGAGGTCATGTGAGGTTGCGAGAGGTGGTGAAAACCAATCCCTACCTCGGAGTTCCTCTACGGAACTTCCTTTCAATTGATAGATAAAACAATGATTTGGTAGCAGTACTCTCGCATGGAGAAGTGCAAGTGTCGTTTGACAGCAATGGTTTATCTTCTTGTGATACTTCTTGTCTTTTCTGTTCTTGTTATCACTGTTGTCCTGCGAAGCTGTTTGGCTCCGGCTGTTGCTGCTGTTGCTGCTGTTGCTGCTGATACTGCTGCTGCTTGTTGTTACTACTGCTGTTGCGTTGTTGTGACTCTTTTGGCTGGAACGGATATTTTTACAGAAAACGCCAAGACGCCACGATGAAGCCAACAATCCAAGAAACCACAATGAGTCACAATAGAGCCACAATACAGCCACAGGAACCTGAGCAGCCAAGAAGCCAAAAGCGACATTTCAGAGCCTGAACGCGTCATTTCCATGCTACGAGTATTTGCAACAGCTTGGAGTTTGAATCTCTTGTTTCCATCCTACCTGCAGGGATTTTGGAGTTTGTATCTCTCATTTGCATGCCATTTGCAGCAGTTTCTAATTTTGTGTGGAAAAATATGATTTGTGGCAGATGCACGCCAGACATTGGCGCCTCCCCAAAACGAAAAAGGAGCATGCGTTCTGTTGCTAACATTGTTTTCTCCCAGTTTTTGCCGCTTAATGTTGACTTTGCATTTCCCTGGCATGTTTTTTGATTTGTTCAGCATCAACGCCTGATAACGTTTCCCTCTTTGTTTGTTTGCCCAATGCGTGCCACGCATTGAAGGTTGAATGTCTGATGCTTAACCGATATCTGCGGAATTTTGGCTCTGAAATATCTGGCTGGTCTTTTTGCAACGCCTGGGGCTAAGAATTATGCTCTTGTTTTTGTTGGTTGATGCCGGATCTTGTCTTTCATGGCATTCTTGCCGTTTTTTCTTCCCATTACTGTTATTTAAAAAAAAGTTGTGGCATGCTGACTAGAAGCCAAGAAACCACCAAGCAAAAACAAGAAGCCAAGAAGCCAAGAAACCGAAAAAACCAAGAAGCCAAGCCACAAAAGCCAAGAAGCAAAAAGCCGTAAGAACATCCCAGGCCGGAAAACATTTAGAAGTTTTACAAATCAAATTATATACCCTTATAAAGGGTGCGTGTTGGTGTATACTTATATGTATGCTGTAATCAACACCCTCCTCTCTTGCAAAACACTTGACTTTGGAGGCACAGAACCAGCTAGGAAATTATTCGAACTGCGGCGATATTAAACGGAACAGTGTGCTTGAAGGCTATGCTCGCCGCACCAGAAAAACATCGGACTTGGATGCTGCGCAGAGGCCATCTCTCTGGCGTTTCTTTACAACGAGTAGAATCGACTCTGTGACTTTCTCTGAACTCCTGAACGTTTTAAATCTCTTGACAAAAAGGACATAAAAGGACGGCTGCATTTCTGCGTAACAAATCAGGCGCACCCTGTCGCGCGAAAAAAGTCAAGCACACACTAGACAAGAATGGATCATTTAAGTGATCCGTTGGGAATTGAATCCCCTCACATGCAATTGGATTAGAAACAATGACCTAAAGTAGATCTCCTCGATGAAAAATGCGAATAAATTGAAAGTATTCCGAGAACGTCAACCCTGCCACAGACAAAGTCCCCCAAAATAGAAAATACTCACTGCAGGGTTCTCGGCTTAGCCCTTTGCCATGACTTTAAAAAACCGTGCAAATAAGGTTAAACCTGACGCCGAAGAAAATCTCAGATTGCGACGACCGTGTCAAACCAAGATTTCTGTTGTTGGGGTTCTCGGCTTAGCCCCTTGCCACGACAGTCGAAAACAAATGAATAAAACACTGCAGGTACGTCAAAGGGACGTCTCCCTTTGGTATCACTGTGACTTCTGGCCGTCTTCGTTGGCACAGGAACCAGAGTCACACCTGTGCCTCCTGCTTGTATACATAACCAAAAGTAGAAGTTTTACATCTGTTCAGATGTTACACACACACACAAGCCATCACAAGCCACATTGCAGTCACAAAGCACGCTGTCCCATCCTCCCAGACTCTGTTGTCTTTTATGGGTTTGGTCCTGAAAATGCGCCCCAAACATCGATCAGCGGTGGACCCTGAATCAGTGGTGGACCTTGAAACTCGAAGAACCCACAGAAAATTCACCACTTAGATTATGTTGGCTTTACAGGTTGAAATCAGCTAGACTTGGCTGGAATGTGAGCTGATGTGAGCTGTCATGTCATGTCATGTCTCTAGGTCTGCTGCTTGGCTGAAGCTCTCGCTTTGAGCCACCGCTGGCTTTTCCTGCACAGGTGCCTGCAACGAGCACCATGTGGCTGATATGTGTGATGCGCGTGAAGTGCGTTCAATGTCTGATTAGGAAGAGGCAACACGGCCTGAGGTGGATCAGCTTTTCCATGAGGCTGGTTGTACCCACTCGGTCCCCACTTTCTGGGGCCAGAGACCTCTCACAGCACTTCATGCAGGTCAAGCAAAAGATAGTGTAAGCCCTGTTCCGGCCAATGAAGCGTTCAAGATCTGAGCCCGGCACATTCAAGCCAGTGGGGATGGGTGCCTCCGCAGCACCTGCAGTAGCAAGCCTATCTGGCTTTTCTACTCAGAAGTGCGCTACACTACATTGTTCAACCTTTAAAGTTTCTTGCCTTCTCGGCTCATTCCAACAGAATATACCATTTCCAACTTTTCTAACTAGACTAATATTACCTACGCAATTTTTAATATGTTGTATTATGTCACATGGCATATATTGGATTCTCACTGAATTCCAAGCAGCTTAACTTGGTTTATCGAAAGAAGTTTAGAAGTCAAACTTCCGACAATATGGAGAGATGAAAAAGCAGTCAGCAGGGAGAAGAGTCAGAAGAGAAAAGATCAGAAGAAAGAAGATGCAGGTGCGCGAAAAGGTAGGAAAGTCGCGAAACACTGTGCTTTTTCGTGGTTTTGTGGCTCCGGAGGGTTGAAAAGTAGGCTCGCTAAAGCGGCGGGTGCGGAGACATCTGGGGAGATGAGAGATGAAAAGTTGCACGCCGTTGTGGCGCGAAGCCGATTTCGAAGTGAAAAGGTACAAAACACACCATTGTCGGACCGCTTTTGGAAGTTGAGATGTTGAAAAAGTGCACGGCGTTGTGGCGCGAAGCACATTTGGAAGTAAAATGTGTTAAAAACTGAGGGGTTCGGAGCAGTTTTGGAAGTTGAAATGACGAAAAAGTGCACGGCGTTGTGGTGCGAAGCACATTTGGAAGTAAAAAGTGTTAAAAACTGGCGGTCTCGGAGCACTTTTGGAAGTGAGATGTCGAAAAAGTGCACGGCGTTCTGGCGCGAAGCACATTTCGAAGTCAAAAGTGTTAAAAACTGAGGGTCTCGGAGACATTTTGGGCGTTCAGACGTCGTTTTGTGTGGCAGGTGGAGTGAAAAGTGACTAAAACGTGAGGGTGTTGTGGCATTTTCAAAAACGATGGCAGGCGTGGGAGATTTGAAGGGGATCTGCACAGATGCATTTTTCGTGGCAGGCGCAGTACAAGAGGCATCTTCAGCAGAGATGTTCGGAGCTCAAGGAGCTGATTTCCTGATTTCCGTAGCGAAGTGGGAAATCTCGCAGGTATCAGTTTTGGAAGCACGACTTTCAATGGAGCGTGTGTCTTTTCTGGCCGTGCTCCCGAGCCTGCAGCATGTGACCTTGTTGTTACCAGTGTTGTCGTTGGAACACTGGAATGATGGTGTTTTTTCTGACCCATCCGTGTAGCGTCTGCGTTTTGCATCCGTTTTGTCTCCGACACGGATCGTGCAACCGTAGGCCGACGAAGGAAAATAACGCAGTGGGAGCTCTTGCAGGCATCGGTTTTTGAAGCACAACAGGGGATAGGTGCAATGGGATTCGATAGCTAGATCAATAGATAGACGGGTAAATAGATCGATAGATAGATAGACAGATCGATGCATCGCAAGATCCATAAATACATCGAGAGATAAATCGAAAAATGGGTGGCTAGATAGAGAGACAGATCGATCAATAGACAGGTAGATGGATCGACAGATGGACACATAGATCGCTAGATCGAAAGATCGCTAGGAGCGTCGATGACCAGATAAACGCATGGGTAGCTAGATAGATGGATGGATGGCTGGAAGAAGAGGTAGACGGACAGATGCATGGATGAATCGATAGAGAAACAGAACGAAGAACATAGTGATGGATAGCTGTGGACATGGATCGATGAAGAGATGGACGGTGAAAAAACTAACAGAGAGAAGTAAGTGGATGGATGGATGAATGGCTGGATAGACAGAAAGATAGACAGTTTAATAGATAGGTGAATAAACAAATCGATCGATAGATACATGAATAGACAGGTAGATAGGTAGATGGCTAGAAAGGTAGCTCTGTAGATAGATGGCGAAAGAGAGACACAGAGAGAAAGAGAGAAAGAGAGACAGAAAGGGAGAAACACTCAACCACCTTTCAATCCATCAGTGGGTTCGCTCTGCCATTTTTGCGTCACACCAACTCACCTCTCCTATAGGTTTTCCATTTTTGAAACTTCCGCCACCGCCTTGTGCGGTACTACTGGTATTAGTACTGGCATGGCTTGAGAAGCCACAAGCGCAACGGGGCACACCTGGCACACCTGAATCGTGAGCTTCAATTGAAGCTGCAGGAAAAGGCGTTGGTGGCGGCTTTGTAGGAGCCTGCAAAACTCTGTGATCTCTCAATGGCATCTTGGCAAGGGAGGCTAAGCAAAAACAATCAAAAACAAGGCCTCGTAAGGCATGAAGTTCAATGAAGGTTTGGACTCCGCTTCAGCCTACACATCGAGCGCACGCTGTGAAAGCCTTTCAGAACTCTACTGAATCACACGCTTCAATTGCTGCATTCATTGCAGGCCTTTGGTGCACTGTTAGTTTGCGCTCGAGCAGCACGCTCTGACGCATTTTGATATGGTTTTGCACCTCACGGAGGAATCACGGAATGCTAAGTGCGAAAACACCGGTGCACCTGTTCGACACATGCCCATCAACGCTTCCAAGAACTTCCCACATCTGAGTCTTAGTGGTCTTTGCATTGAAAAATAAGCATTGCCTTCGTCAAGTTTGTGCCGGACGAATGACTCCAAGAAAGTCAAATCCTGTCAGTCGAAGTCAATGTCTTCGTAGTCTTTCTTGTGATTTATACAGAAAGGTCTCAAGATCAAATCCAAGGTGTGACCCAAACCAATTCAAGTTTGATTTCAAGCAAGATGCTGCACGCATTGCTGTTTATCTAGTGTGGCTTCTTCCAGGATGCCCCTGAGGTTGAGAACAATTACCTCCTGCGCAAAATCCTGCAGTTTGCAACCTGCTTGCTTTGTGAAATTTGGGCCTTTGACACAAGCATGGTACCAGGTGTAGCAAATCCAGGAAGAGAGATTCGGGACATGGTTTCTGGTTGCTCTTAATCTTGTCAATCTGATTGAAATCTTCAGACTGCTTGCTTTCGCACATCGCAATCGCCCTTGTTGTTAAAACTCGGAGGCCAAGCTCTCAACACACTTTACAGATGGTGATGGCGCGTTTTGATTGGCTCGGCTGAGTGTATGTCTTCGTAAGCTGAAGTCTTTTGAAAGCTTCCTAGCCCATGTGTTGATTCCCATACATCCGCTAGCATGCGGGTAACAAATCAAACTACCCGAGGCCTTCCTTTTGCAATATTGCTGACTCTTTTTGGTTCTGCAGATTCCTTGCCGTCTCGTGCCCAAAAACTTGAAGTTCACTAGCCTTGCTTGCGCGTTGAGGCAGCGCCGTTTCAAATTATTGATAGCATTGCCGAAAGAGGACATATCTTGCAGCCGCCCACAACCCATATGCTAATGGCCATGGCACCGACAAAATGTGCGAAAAAGTAACCAAGCTGCTTGGCGTGGGATCGCTCATTTCATACTTGTAGGGGTGTAGGGCATGGAGAATACTTTGGGGCCGGCGGGGAGGGGACATGCACATCAACGATTTCATTTTCGGGGGTGGGACACGGGACATGTGACATGGGACGTTGGCAAGGAGACCAGAGACAGCCAGCGCAGGATCTGGGATGAACACATTGCCCAAGGGCTCTTCGCAAACACCAGCGAACCTGGCACCAGCGAAGTGACACCTGACCCTATCATATTTGCTTAGCGTCTAGAGACCGAAATCATCATATATTTGTTTTTGGAATGTTTGGGCTGCTCATTGCTGCCATGAGAGCTGGGGGGAATGTGCAACTCGTGAAATGTTTTTAAACTCCTGAGTGTTAATTGCGCACGGCTGCCATCAATATTTTTCCTGTACTAGTACTAGGTGGATCTGCTTGCTGATGCGTATGTTGCCTTGTGCGGCATTGTGTTCGGCTGCTGTGTGCTTTGCTGTGGCATGCTGCAGTATGCCACGATATGCCGCGCTGTGTCGAAATTGGTTTTCAGTTTTGAGCCTGTGATATGCTGTGTTCTGTTGCGCTTTGTTGCACTGTGCTGGGTAGTGCATCCAGCTGTACTGGACTTAATTGTTGTGCACGTGCTATGCGGAAGTGTTATATCATGTTGTTTTCTGCTGCTGTGTTCTCATGAGCATTTTTGCGCTTTGACAAGCTGCTGTGCTGTGCTGTGCTGTGCTGTGCTGCGGTGTATCCCTATTGCTGGTGGCTACTCACCTTGTCTGAATCGCCATGTCATCGCATAATTATCTGCAAACTCAAGTCTTTTGCTTTCCCAAAAGAACGCACTTAAAATTGATTACGCCAGCATTGACCCAGGATAAAAACACATATTTTTGGGCAGCAACCAAACACGCTCCCTTTTTGACAAGGCGTAAATGTAATCGACCCCGTCAGTCCCCAAGGCCCTACAGCAGCGACGCCCTTGAACGGCGCCAGCACCCAAGCTAGACAGCGCACGCCGCACTCTGACGGCAGCACCCTGCAGCGGCACCGCGCAGCGGCACCAGCAATCCAGCTCCAAAACGCACGCACCACTCTAACAGCAGCACCCTGAAGCAGCACCTGTCCTGCACCGCCACGCCAGCTCCAAAGCGCACACGCCACTCTAACAGCAGCACCCTGAAGCAGCACCCTGCAGCGGCACCAGCAGCCAGCTCCAAAGCGCAAACACCACTCTGACAGCAGCCCGCAACACCTTGCAGTGGCACCGTGCAGCGGCACCAGCAGGCCAGCTCCAAAGCGCACACGCCACTCTAACAGCAGCACCCTGAAGCAGCAGCTGCAGCGGCACCCTGCAGCGGCACCCGCAGACCAGCTCCAAACTGAGAGCAAAACGCAGCAGCGGCCTCAAAACTGAGAGCAACACGCAGCAGCGGCACCAGCAGGCCAGCTCCAAAGCGCACACGCGCCACTCTAACAGCAGCACCCAAGCAGCAACCTGCAGTGACCAGAAGGGTACCAAAGCGCACACACCACTCTAACAGCAGCACCCTGAAGCAGCACCCTGAAGGAGCACCCTGCAGCGGCACCAACATGCCCGCTCGAAAACGCACACACCACTCTAACAGCAGCACCTTGAAGCAGCACCCTGTAGTGGCACCCTGCCCTGCAGCGGCACCAACATGCGGGCTCCAAAACGCACACACCACTCTAACAGCAGCACCCTGAAGCAGCACCCTGCAGCGGCACCCTGCAGCCGCACCAACGTGCCCGCTCCAAAACGCACATATACAACTCATCATATACCGGAAGTAAGAGCCCCTACCACGAAATCCTCTTTTGCAAAATTCACAAATCAAATTTCAAATGTCTCATGTCGCACTGTCTTCTCCCTTTCCTTGTTGACAATGATATCCTCACACGACGCATCATATGGCAGTACCTTCCAAGCAAAATCAACCTGGCTGACTCCTTCTTGTTTTTGCAAACAAGTCTTGGGCCGCCTTTCGCATGAGTGCCGGCGACTGCCGAAGTTGCTCGAACCTTGATGGCAACTTCTTGCAACTATGATCAAAGCGACCCGTCGTGAAACTCTTGAAGTGCCTAGCGCAGCCTACTGCCTGCACAACATCCGAGGTCTAGGGAAACTGCTCATAGCATCGCTGCTGTAGGTCCGTCATGCGTGACGAGCGGTAACTGGCTGTTTTCGATTTCCCGTTCTGTACATCTACATCACCAGACAAAGACACCGTGAGGGAAGCAACTGAATCAGCTCTTCAAACACAGAAAACAATGCATTCGATGAAGCGTGCCTGCGGATGATATCTTCCGCCGTCGTGCTTTTGAGACCATGCTGCCCAATTAGTTTCAATAGAGCTGTTACCTCAGACTTGAAAGCTATGCTGAGTCCGTGGACATGGGAAATTTCACTGCCGTTACAGTAACTCGAACCTCTTGAACCTTGAAAGAGCAATTAACAAAGGGAAAGTGAACATTTCCTGGCCGATGATTATCACTTCCGTTGGTTTTTGTCGGAAGCAATCAAGGCCCGCCACACCCAAAGTTACAGGGCAAGGCTGAACAAAGTCCGTCCGTCCGTCCGTCTTACCCGAACCCAAAGAGCTCAATCAACGTGCTGGAATCAAACACATAACCAGCAAATGACTATGCAAAGGCTGTCGAACTCTTGGTTTCGCTGTACCATCTCCAGCAACCAAAATTTGAGCAAGGTTTCTTTCTCAAGGACGTCAATGGAATCGGGTGGAAACAATCCTGAACTCAAGCCTCAGTCTCGGACTAGGTAACCTCGAGTAGATGGATCCTCAAACCTGGCTAGCGGCTCTCGGCTATGGATGTCTCAAGTTTCCATTGTTTGTTTATCTTTCACTTAATTCATATAAACATAGTCCTGGACCCTCCCAGATCCAGAGAAGATTCCATTATCACGTATATAAAACATTCCAACACGCAACTCATAACCGTCTGCAATCTGAACCTTCTAAGACTACAAACCTTCAAACCCTCCCTGGCGTCAGCTCCTCGGCCTGGTGGAACCCATTTTAGCAACCAAGAACTACTAAAGTCTTCCCAGAATGAAGAAATAAAGTCAAGTAAACCCTGATTGAAACACCAAATGCAAAACATCCTTTGCTTTCGGGATGAACAAATTAACGGCTCAATGCCTCCCTACTTTAAAAAAAATAAAACCATAGTGTCGCATTTTGATCCGAGCACCGCCAGGACCGTCTCGCACCGATCGCGCGGCAGACCTTCCCCGTCGATCTTCCGAGGCACGCTGTGTGGTGCAAAACATAGGATTTCGCACGGCTATCTCTCAAAAACCCATTTCTTGCGAGACATCCGTTAAAAAATGAAAGTTGAAGTTGTGAAACCGAAGCTTTCGTGCAAGACATCCATCAAAAACTGCAGGTGAAACATGTGTACCCGAAGCTTTCGTTGGAGACATGATTCAAAAACTGGAAGTTGAAGTTGTGAAACACAAGCTTTCATGCAAGACATCCTTCAAAAACTGAAGCTGAAACATGTGTACCCAAAGCTTTCTTGCGAGATTTCCTTCAACAACTGAAAGTTGAAGATGTGAAAACGAAGCTTTCGTGCGAGACTTCCCTCAAAAGCTGAACGTTGAAGTTGTGAAAACAAAGCTTTCGTGCGAGGCATAGCTTGACAAGTGAACATGTGAAAACGACGCTTTCGTGCAAGATATCCCTCAAAAACTGAAAGTTCAACATTTTACTGGCAGTCAGTTGCACTGACAATCATTGCAGGGCCAATCATTGCGGGGGCAATCATTGCAGTGACTTTCATTGCAGCGACTTTGCAGCGACTGTCACTGCAGTTAGTGGTCAACTCCTGGGCACATGACATTGCAGGAGTTTTGCAGGAGCTACCTATAGAAGTTGATCACCTACAAGTCAGCATCTGGCTAAATGGTTTTCTGGGAGTTACCTAGATGCTGATCACCTACATGTAGAATATTATGTGGTGGTGTAGGTAATGTTGGTAATGTAGGTAATGTAGGCGATGTAGATGATGCAAATGATGCCGGCGATGTAGGTGATGTAGGGAATGTGGATGATGATGGTGATCATGATGGTGGTGATGGTGATGATGATGATGATGGTGATGATGATCATGGTCATGATCATGAAGCTGAAGTTGAACTTGAATGTGAATTTGAAGTTGAAGTTGATGATGAAGGTGATGTAGATGGAGTAAAAGGCCATGTTAAAGTCAAAAATTGGCAGCATTGTTGTGGGGGGAACCCTTCGCAGGAGCTTTCGGGAAAATATTGCTTGTTGCAACTTCAGGCAGACAGACAAACACAAAAGAAAAAACGCAAACCAAGCAAATCACCTCTTGTATTACAGATAGTACAGGCAGACAGGAACGGACTTCCTACTGGTCTTTTCCATGGAAACATTCTGGCCCCATTTTTTGGAATGCGTTTCCTTGAATCCTTGTCTCGAGCCTTTTTCGTTCGGGGAACCTTGACGCGTACATACTAGAACCCCGAAGCTTTGAGGGCTAATTTGGAGCTGCTGTGAAATGGTTCCCCTTGAAAGGAAAGCGAGCAAAGCTGGCGGACGCTCGATGCATTCTGTGAGGAGGTCCGCGATGTCTTCAATTGTGTAGCCGTCAATAGTTGCAAGTCTCGCGTACTCACCAAGAACCCAGGCAATAACCTGGCACAGAGTGAAAACTGCAGTTTAGCTCGTCTATGAGGACATGTCCTGCTGGAGCAACCCCAAATTCAACAAAGAAATGCCTTTCTGCCCACGCACCTGCACCAAAATGTCTGACAGGGTCGGCTTTTCCAGGAGCTGAGCAAGAGTGCAGCGTTGAAAATGGGCATGCTTTTGTCAAGGCGTTGAATACCCTTCAGAATGCACATGCTGCAACACACAAGCAGAACTTGCAATTCCAATCAGTGCCCACATGTGTAAAACCATAACTCTGAAATTGAGAAGCCAACCCTATCCAAAGGAAATTTGAGCAAGGTTGTTTGTTCTTTCCACACAAGGAAATCTGCACAAGCCTTCAGGTAGGTATTGACGGCAAAAACCCGAAAGGCGTTATCAGCGGACTCATCTTCCCCTGCACCTTCTGCAACCAGGCGCCTGATAAGAAAAAAATGTTTATCCTGCACACCGTACGTGCTAAGTGTGCGAACTGCCCGCGAACCACGGTTCTTTTAACTGAGCTCAACACATCAAGTTGTAAGCGGTCTCAGCTGGTACCAGCTCTCCACTCAATTCAAAGACAGTGTTCATTGTGTTCACGTACCTGCGGTCAACTTCAAAATCTTCCATTCCGTTGATGCTGTTGCTTCGTCCGTTCAGGTGCGCCGGTGTGGTGTCAATCAAGCTTTGGGCGTTGGACCAGAAGCTTCCCCAACACCTACGTGCCTATCAAACCATCAAAACTTTTTTCCCTCACCTTCGACGCTGTGAATCTGTCGGACCGCCCGTCTCATACCGCACAAGGCGGTGGCGGAAGTCTACATACATTACATAGAGTACATACCTTACATACGTTAAATACATTACACATACATTGCACATACATTACACATACAGTGCAAAAACATTACACATACATTGCACATACATTGCACATACATTACATATACACTACACATACATTATATACAAATCCGCCCGCACCGAAGGTGCTGGGGCGTGATCGTCCGGATGGCACTCGTAAAAGGTTACAGGTTTACCTGGGGGGGGGGGGGCATTTTTCGGCCAAAACCTCCTGTTTTTGATAGGTCGTGACGCTCGCCTTCAAAAAACACTGTAAAAAACAGTACGGAAGACACCTGTTCGTGAACGCGCCCGTCCAAAATCGGCAAGCGAAAAGTGAAAAAAACCCGTGTTTTTCAACTTTTTGACTTCAATTTTTTGGTTTGCAACATCTTTTTTTGCGGTTCCGCAGGTGGCCTGGCCCGGAGGCGGATTTTTGAGTTTTTGGACCCGTTTTTAGCTTCAAAACTTCCAAAAACCTCGTAAATTACGCTGTTTTATGTTACGGTGTGAATGAAAACATCCTAAATACCAGTGTTTTTTGACGTTGGTTAAAAAAACACTGTAAATTACAGTGTTTTTGGCCACCTGACCCTCAAAAACCATGGTATTTGCAGTGGTTTCTGCTTCTCACCGCGCAAAAACACTGTAAATAACAGCACTTTCGCCATTTTTTCATGTTTTTCGTTATTTTTTGAACTGCGTTGGTCCGCTATACATGGCTATCAAATTCTTCGCGGTTTTTTTTCCGACAATCAGTACTTTCGGATGTTTTTGGTCTCAATGGCCGACATGCCTTTTCATCATCATGTTTGTGTGAGCCCAACGATGCGGTGCGGGCGGTTGCCGTCGCGAAGCGACGTGAATATTTAGATACATAGATACATCATACATGCATTCATCTATGCATCCATCCGTCAACCCATACATAAATACATACATGTTTGTTTGCATATATATATATGTATACTATTTATACACACAGTAGAGCAAGTCATGGATCTGGCCTTTCAATCTATGATGCCCTCGATATGGAACATCTATTGATATGTCTCAATGATTGTTGTGTTGGTGTGGGAAAGCCAGTTTGATTCTAGAGTTTGCCAAGCAACCTTTTCAATAACAAACTGCTGTGATTTTGTGGTTCGCTGTTTTCAAACTTAATCAATATCCCTTGCCACTTATGTAGCAGTCGCATGCATTTGCGCAATGTGGGAACTTACCCATTGGCGCTCGGCGCTCACTAACAAACTAACCTATTGGTGGGAAACCTATTTTTTGTCTATGGTAAAACCAATGTTTGATAGTCTTGATGTCATAGTGACGGCGGAAGAAGAAATTAGCAACTTACTTTGCAGCGAAAAACGGGCAAACCCATGTTCTCACTACCAAGGTCACTTCAAACCAAAGCATCTCAGGAAAAATGAAGTAACTTCATTACCTGGCATTGATTGCCTGCGCAACTGGATGCGTGTGTGTGTGTGTGCGTCTGTGCACGCACCACATTGCATGTGCAAGTCTTATTTCGGGCACCATTCATTGTCTGGAGCAAATCGCTCTGCCAAGGACGTGATCTTCTGTACCAAATCTCTTCTGAGATGCGCATCCTGAGGGTTGGGACATCTGTGACATAATCATGCCCGTCCCCAGCAAAGCACAAGGAACTGACAACTGAGAGTTTGGCGACACTTGTTCGCAAATGAAATGTCAGTTTGTCAACCTCAAGCACCCATTACCGCTTCTATGGGGGCTTAAATTTCTGGGGCGTCCGGCATGTTTCCAGTTTGCTGGTTTTGGACGTTTTCTTTGTCATCAGCATATACATATGTCCGTCTGTCTTTCTGTCTATCTATCTGTCTATCTATCTACCTATTTTTCCACCTATTTTTCTGCTTGTATATCCTTTTATCATACCCCAAAAATTGACCTGGTGGGGTTGGGGCTTCAGATTTTGTAGGCACATTTCTGGAAAACACCAAAACGGCCTCTACAAAACCAAAAAGATAGCAGTTGAACAGGAAACTTTCAGGCCTTCAAAATCCAAACACCCAACCCCACTTTTGTTGGGACCTGGGGCACCCGGCGCTTCTACAAAATCCAATCATGGAAATCCACCTCCCCCAAAATATAAGCACTAAAAATTTGGCTCAAATACACCCTTAAAAGCCATCCCAGAAACAATTGGGCCTTGTAGAGAAACCTTTGTTTGGGGTTTAAAAGTCAACAAAAATCATCGTTGGATTTTGTAGAAGCCCGGTTTCTGATTTTTGTCGTGGTTTCAACTTTTCTGCCGCTTCGTTGTCGCACTTTGTTTCTAATCTTGTCTTTGAAATTTTCACCACGCCCATGCAATCTGAGAGGTTGCTTGGGCATAGTGACCCAAATTTTATCCTTGGTTATGAAAAACAATGCAAACATCAACAAGACCATGAAAGACTGCAAAAAAAAAACTAACATCAACAACATGATGAAAGACTATAAACAATAAAGGTGCTATCCCCAGCAGCTTGAAAGTTTCTGCGTTTTTGTTATCAAAAGTGTTTATGCCATAAAAATTAAGCGTTTATGCCATAAAAATTAAGTGTTTATGCCGGAACTTCACCAGGTATCTGCACCGGAACCCTCCGGAACCTCACCAAGCATCTTCTCCGCCAAACCCCTCCGGAACCTCACAAGGTCTCTGCACCGGAACCTTCCGGAACCTCAAAAGGTATCTGCCCCGGAACCTTCCGGAACCTCATGGGGTAGCTGCTTCGGAAACTTCCAGAAAGTATCAGGTACCTGCACCAAAACCTCTGGGACCTAATTAAATATCTGTCACCGTAACCCTCCGGAACCTCACCGAGTACCTGCACCGGAAACTTCCGGAACCTCACAGGGTATCTGCGCCGGAACCCTCCGCAACCTCACAAGGTATCTGCACCGGAACCCTCCGGAACCTCACCAGAACCCTCCGGAACCTTGTCCGGAACCAGGTGCTGAAGCTGCACCGGATCGCACCGGAGCTAATCTGGGCTAAAGAGGCCATGGCAAAGTTCTGCTGTTGGGGGAAAAACAATGCAAACATCAACAACATGATGAAAGATAAGCTTCGGCTTCGGTGGTATCCCCAACAGCCGCAACGTTTTATTTTTATGAATCTTTCTGAAGCGTGCTGAGAAGCCAAGCGCTGGAAACACCTCAGCTGGGTTTCCGTGAGTTAAATGAACCTGACCTGCCTGACCTGACTTGGCTTCTGCAACCTCCGGAACCCATTGAACCTGGCTTGGCTTTGCACCAAGGCTTCCTGGAACCTTCTCCGGAATATTCTGCAGAACGTTGTTGAACCTGACCTGGCTCTACACCAAAGCCTCCCAGACCTTCTCCGGAACCTTCTCCGGAACCCTGTTGAACCCAACCTGGCTCAGCACCAAACAAAGCCTCCCAGAGCCTCCACCACCTTCTCCGGAAGCTTCTCCGAAACCCTGTTGAACCTGACCTGGCTCTGCACCACAGCCTCCCAGACTTTCTCCGAAACCTTCTCCACCTAACCTGCCTCTGCACCAAAGCCTCCCATACCTTCTCCGGAACCGTCTTCGAAACCCTGTTGAACCCAACCTGGCTCTGCACGAAAGCCTCCCGGAACCTTCTCTGGAACCTTCTTCGGAACCCTGTTGAACCTAACCAGGCTTTGCACCAAAGCCTCCCATACCTTCTCCGGAACCGTCTTCGAAACCCTGTTGAACCCAACCCGGCTCTGCACCAAAGCCTTCCGGAACCTTCTCTGGAACCTTCTTCGGAACCCTGTTGGACCTGACCTGGCTCTGCACCAAACCTTCTCCGGATCCTTCTGATGAACTTGACCTGGCTCTGCACTCAAACCTTCACCGGAACCTTCTCCGGAACCCTGTTGAACTGGGCCTGGCTCTGCACCAAGGCCTCCCAAACCTTCTCCGAAACCGTGCCCGGAACCCTGTTGAACCTGACCTGGCTCTGCACCAAAGCCTCCCCGACCTTCTCCGGAACCTTCTCCGGAACTTTCTCCGGAACCTTCTCTGGAACCCTGTTGAACCTGACTTGGCTTTGCACCAAGGACCGAAAAAATGCTTTGGTGGTAGATTTTTTAGAAAAAACAATTAACTAAATGATGGGAAACCAAAAACTAAAAAGATAAACCGCTTGTGTTTTAGACAACGGGGGGGCTGACAGCGCCACAACAGGGAAAGATCAGGCTCTGCAACGGAGCACGGAGCTTGGGGAGGTGTGCCACATCAAGCAAGACCACAACGGAACAATACAACGGGAAGACCACAACGAGAAAATGAGAAATGGTGGGTGAAAATTTTGATTTTTCCCCAACAGCGTAAGCTAATGGGGTCTTCAGCCCAGAATAGCTCCGGGCTCCGGTGTGCACCGGTGCAGGTGCCGGGTCAGGTTCAACGAGGTTCCGGAGAAAGTTCCGAAGGTTCCGGAGAGGGTCTGAGACGCTTTGGTGCAGAGCCGGGTCACGTTCAACAGGGTTCCGGAGAAGGTTCCGGAGAAGGTTCCGGACAAGGTCCTGGAGGCTTTGGTGCAGAGCCAGGTCCGGTTCCACAGGGTTTTGGAGGTGTGGGAGGCTTTGGTGCAAAGCCAAGTCAAGTTCAACAAGGTTCCGGAGAAGGTTCCGGAGAAGGTTCCGGAGAAGGTCTGGGAGGCTTTGCTGCAAAGCCAGGTCAGGTTCAACAGCGTCCGTTCTGGAGATGGTTCCAGGACGCTTTGGTGCAGAGCCAGGTCAGGTTCAACAGGAGAGCCGGGTCATGTTCAACAGGGGTCGGGAGAAGGTTCCGGTGAAGGTCTGGGAGGCTTTGGTGCAGAGCCAGGTCAGGTTCAACAGGGTTCCGGAGAAGGTTCCGGAGAAGGTCTCGGGAGGCTTTGGTGCAGAGCCAGGTCAGGCTCCACAGGGCTCCGGGGAAGGTTCCGGAGAAGGTTGGTGCAGAGCCAGGTCAGGTTCAACAGGATTTGCGGCCATTTAATTCAGGGAAACCCAGCCGAGGTGTTGCCAGTTCTTGGCTTTGCAGCACGCTTCAGAAAGATTTGTTAATATAAAGCGTTGCGGCTGTTGGGGATACCACCGAAGTTTTTTTTTTCAATAGGACAAATTCAGCATCTTTTAGAAAACTTTCAGTATCTTATCTATATGAATTCCGAAAATTCAATACCACAGAAAATGATAGAAAATGCGTGAACATAAATGTCAACTACTTATGAAACCAGTTGAAACCATATGAATCACATGAAATCATGGTTCAGCCAATTTCTCTACAAAACCAAAACATCTCACAAAGTGCGAAGCACGGCCCTCATGTCCTGAAAACCCAAAACACTACAAATCAAAAGCATGGCTTCAGGTGTCCTCTAAAATGATCCCAAAAATGTCCCTAGACAAAATCAAAAACCTGCTTGGAGATGATTCAAGATGCCCAACCATCTCCCACTTAAATATGCTTTGTGTCAAACGTTAACGTGTTAGATTTTGTAGGGGGATTTTTGGAGGTATCTTTTATCTATCCATCTATCCATCTATCTATCTATCTGTCTATCTATCTATCTATCTATCGATCTATCGATCTATCGATCTATCGATCTATCGATCTATCGATCTATCGATCTATCGATCTATCGATCTATCGATCTATCGATCTATCGATCCATCGATCTATCGATCTATCGATCTATCGATCTATCGATCTATCGATCTATCGATCTATCTATCTATCTATCTATCTATCTATCTATCTATCTATCTATCTATCTATCTATCTTGTCTGTCTATCTGTCTGTCTGTCTGGCTGCCTAGCTGTCTATACACACACATAGGTAGATAGATATTTATATATATATATATATGTGTATGTATGTATGTATGTATGTATGTATGTATGTAGGAATGCAGGCATTCAGGTATGCACGTACGTATGTATGTACGCATGTAGGTGTGTAGGTTTGTGGGTATGTGGGTGGCTATCTGTGTAAGTCGGTATTGCATGCATCCATGTATTATGTATTTGCATTTGTATGTGCATTTGCGTTTGTATTTGTATTTGTTTGCATGTATTTGTATGAGATTGCGTGTATGAGATTGTATGTGATTGATTGTATGTGACTGCCGAAGAAAGTTTTGGAATCAACTTCCGACAATATGGACAGGTGCAAGAGCAAAGGTGGGAAGAGTCAGAGAAGAGAATGTAGAAGATCAGAGTGCACGAAAGGTAGAGAAGTCGCGAATCACTGTTTTTTCCAACAATTGGTTGCAAAAGATCAAAAGATTGCACGCCGCTGTGGCACGAAGCACATTTCGAAGTCAAAATGCTAAAAGCACATCAGATCCAAGTCACTTATGGGAGTTGAGAAGTGGAAAAAAGCGCACGCCGTTGTGGGGCGAAGCACATTTCAAACTCAAAATACGTAAAACGCTGCAGGTTCGGGCCACATTTGGAAGTTGAGATGCCGAAGAAGTGCACGCCGTTCTGGCGCGAAGCCCGTTTTGAAGTAAAAAAAGTAAAAATGGCAAAATCACAACATGTTCGGCCCGCTTTTGGACGTTCGCCGCACCACACTACGCAACAACAACCACAACAACAACAACAACAACATCATCAACAACAACAACAACAACATCAACATCAACATCATCAAAAACAACAACAACAACAACAACAACAACAACAACAACAACAACAACAACAACAACAACAACAACAA